TGAACTCCCTTTCCTTTTAGTATTACTGTCCATGGGATCTCACCCAGCACTTCCCTAAGCTTTATGAAGTCGGCTTTCTTAAAGTCGAGAAATTGAGTCCTAGTATGCTTGGCTGCTCCTTTCCGCTGTATAGTAAACTTCAGAAGAGCATGATCACTCGCGCCTAATGATCCTTCCACTTCTACCCCACTAACCAGGTCATCAACATTTGTTAGGACCAGATCTAAAATGGCTGTTCCTCTTGTTGCTTCTCCCACTTTCTGGACAATGAAGTTGTCTGCAAGGGCAGTGAGGAATCTGTTTGACCTTATGCTCTTGGCTGAGTTTGACATCCAACAAATATCCGGGTAATTGAAGTCCCCCATTACTACTATCTCCCTTCCTTTTGCATGCTTGGCCATCTGTTCCAGGAAGGCATCATCTATGTCCTCCGTTTGGCTTGGGGGTCTATAGTAAACTCCCACAATGAGGTCACTGTTATTCTTCTCTCCCTTAATTTTGACCCAAATGCTCTCACTTTGGCTTTGAGGTTCTAAATCTTGGATCTCTTCACAGGTATACACATCCCTGACATATAACGCCACTCCTCCTCCTTTCTTGTCTGGTCTGTTTCTTTGAAATAGATTGTATCCCTCCATTATTACATTCCAATCGTGGGATTTATCCCACCAGGTTTCAGTGATTCCTATTATGTCATATTTAGTTTGCTGTACCAGGAGCTCAAGCTCATCTTGTTTATTTCCCATGCTTTGCGCATTAGTGTACAGACATTGAAGTCCATTAATCATTCCCCCGTGTCTCTTATTTAAGGATTTTCTCCTCCCACCACTAGGTCTGCATGCTCTTTGCTCCATTCGGTCTATGACATTTGGATGATCATCTTCATCAATTGATAGACTCCTACCTTCAGGAGCACTGTCTCCCTCCCCCACATTAGTCAGTTTAAAGCCCTCCTGATGAGGTTTCTGAGATTTTTTGCAAAAACATTCCTCCCAACCGTTGTGAGGTGCAGCCCATCGCTTGCCAGAAGTCCATCTTCAAGAAACTGCATTCCGTGATCTAAGAATCCAAACCGTTCCTGTTTGCACCATTTGCGAAGCCAGTTGTTCACTTCCACTATTTTTCCCTCTCTCCCTGGGCTACGTCGTTCAACTGGGAGGACAGATGAGATGACAATTTGTGCATTTAATTGCTTCAATTTCCTGCCCAGAGCCTCATAATCTCTTTTGATCTTCTGGAGGCTATTGCTTGCAGTGTCATTGGTTCCCACATGAACCAAGAGGAAGGGGTATTTGTCAGTGGGTTTTATGATTCCTTGCAGTCGTTCAGTTACATCTTGGATCTTAGCCCCGGGGAGACAGCACACTTCCCGAGACATCTTGTCAGGCCCACAGATCACTGCTTCTGTTCCCCTCAGTAGGGAATCCCCTATCACCACTACACGCCTCCTCTTAGGTCTGGTCGGGGTTCTTCTGTGAGCTGTCGGTTCCAAGGTTGCCTGGACATTCCCAGAGGACTGCCTTTGCTCCTCGTCTTCATATACCTGATCGACTGTAATGAGGGAGAGATCCTCAAATGGAGTCTGCTCTTCGTCTTCCATGCTAGGGGAAAGGACCTCAAAGCGATTGCGTATTTCTAAACAATCAGAGCGAACCCTGGGCCTCCTACTTCTTTGAGTCACGTTTCTCCATATATCTGGCTCCTGTGTTGGTGAACTAGCCACCTTCTCAGGGGAGTCCCCTGTCTCTTCCTTGGTGGAGACGGTGTGCTCTGTTGCTTCCAAGAAGAGTTCCAGCTCTCTAATTCTTTGGAGCGTAGCTACACGTTCCTCCAGTTGCTGGACTTTGTCTTTTAAGAGGGCAATCAACATGCAATTGCTGCAGGTAAAGCTGCCTGCAACCTTTGGCAAGATGGCAAACATTGCGCAGGAACCACAGGCGACTGCAGCTGTTCCCTCACCCTCCATCTTGGGAACGTGTCGTTGGGGGTGACTACAGTGGTCCTCTATCATAAAAAGTGTGGAGACAGGACAAATAAATCCCTCCCAAAAAACCTAGGTCTCCCCCAACAAATGTTTGAGACTAGCTCCCCTAAATCTAAAATATGCCCTAAAGCTCTGATAAGCTCCTCCCACAGCTAATCACCTACCTCAACAGAAGCCCTGCCCCCTCTGACCTTTGCCCAGAGAGAGCAGCTAAACAGCCACAAGAAACTCACACAGGAAAACCCTTTTTGTTCCTTCTTCAGCTGCTGCCCTAAAGCTCTGATGTGCTCCGTAATGGCAAACTTAGAGCTTAGGAGGGCTGGCCATAATGCCGGTCACATCAAGGTGAGGCAAATATGTAAGAGGATGTCAGATGGAGGTATTGGCTATTGGTTACGTGAGGCATTAGTGTGTGGGAAGACTTAGAGGGGGGAATAGAATTTTTTGCAGCTCAATATAGCATGTTCGAAAAGGGACGCAGGTGGCTCTGTGGGTTAAACCACTTCGCCACTTGGGCTTGCCGTTCGAAAGGTCGGCGGTTCGAATCCCCGCGACGGGGTGAGCTTCCGTTGCTCGGTCCCTGCTCCTGCCAACCTAGCAGTTTGAAAGCACGCAGTGCAAGTAGATAAATAGGTACCAGTCCAGCGGGAAGGTAAACGGCGTTTCTGTGCGCTGCTCTGGTTCTCCAAGTGCAAAATGAGCAAGTGCAAGATGAGCTTTGAAACTCTACACCAGTCATAGGCAAACTAAGATCCGGGGGCCGAATGCGGCCCGCCAAGCTTGTAAATCTGGCCTGTGGACCCTGCCACCTGCTCAGTCAGTCCCTGCGTGCTGTGGACGCCTCGCCACATAGGGACTGACTTTCACAACGCTGGCACGGCTTCTGGGCAGCGTTGCTGACACAGCTTCGGATTGGCTGCAGGAAGTTCCTGCAGCCAATCCAAAGCCCCACTGCCTGCACACTGAGGTAAACCCAGCGTGGCCATGGACGGAGAGGTTGGTGAGTGGGCAGCGGCCTGGGCCCTGCCATGGGCATCGTGACAGGTGCATCGCAGGTCGTCAGCCAGAGCTTGGTGCACCTGCTGGCCCCGTGCCTGGCTCGGCGGTGGAGGGTGAGCTGCGTGCCACCTGCCCGCCGCCCCGGCCTCAGGCAATTGGCTGCAGCACGTGGTGCATGCTGCCTGGGAGCTCTGCAGGGATGGGACGATGGAGTGGCTGCTGCTCGTCAACAACACTGGTGAGCGGGTGGCGCCGAGACGTGCTCCTGAGCGCGTGCAGAATGCGTTCCTCCTCCAGGTCCAGAGGCAGCTGCGGGACTGGCTTGCAGGGTATTTATATTTTTCAAAATATAACCCAGCCCCCCACAAGGTCTGAGGGACAGTGGACTGGCCCCCTGGTGAAAAAGTTTGCTGACCCCTGCTCTACACCTCACTTGAATTTAAGTTGAGCCATTTCAACCAGCCGACCTTCAAGCACACATGGTTAAAGTGGCGCAAGTTGTGATTGCACTATCTTGCCGCGGTGTGCTGTTTTCTTTAGAGGAAAGAAGTCCGGCGTCTGCTCTGCATGCAGAAGGTTCCATCCCACTGGCATCTCCAGGTGAGGCTGGGAATGTCTTCCAGCTGCAATCCCGGAGAGACCCTGCCAGTCAGAGTAGACCATACTGAGCTAGAAGGAGCAGTGATCTGACTCGTTGGTGTGGGGCAGCTGCCTGTGTTCATATGCACACATGATGTTCAGTCTCCTGGTTTTATTTCAGCCCAAATCAGCTACAGAAACTACATTCTTGAGCAGAAGGGGCCCCTCCATCCACGATGGGGGCTGCCTCACCCTTTCGTTTCCTCCCATATTGCAGACCTGGTGCAATTAGCTGTATTTGCACAACTTGCTTTTATGCTGCAGCTCAGCTCTAAGCTTGGTGCTGATACTTCTCCCCTGTTCTTCCCATCCGCATATAAAATATTGCCGTTAAATCTTTCTTTCTTTCCATTCTTCCAAATAAACTTTAAGAATAATCATTGCCATTTTGTTATTTGCTGGTTGGATGTTTTTATTGGCAAAGGCTGAAAAAGAAAATTTAGTCGGCAACAATACAATTTTTATTATAGAAATCCTGCCTAGGAAAGAAAAATGTAACTTTTCCCCGTTGTGGGGCAGTACATTGTCTAGAAACACATAAATAATTCCAAATATTTTCTGTCTTCTTGTTTTTATTCTCGCATATCTTACTGGCTCTCACCCACCAACTATATTCTATCCTTTATTTTATTTCGACTCCTCAATTAGCAGTTACATTGATTTCACATTTTTCAGTTTTTCCCTTCCAGCTAGGGGACCAGATTCAGTTATTACTAATTCCATTTCAGTAAAAGATTGCCCTGGTTTAGTTAGCGTCACAGTGACACTGGCCACACATATTTATTTACTTTTCGATTTTTACCCCAGTTATACACTATTTACTCTTATTTTACTTGCTTAGGCATCTAAAGCTAAGAGAAATATTAAACAGACATCCTTTCCTTTTGCCTTTTGCCAGATTAACCTTTTTTGACAAACTCCCATTAGTGTGAATTCTTTCTTTTGAATCTGAATAAATGGCTTAAATCCATTGTCTGTTGCAAATCTGAAATCAAAAGCTTTAAGAGTTTCCAAAAAGGAAATGCCATTCTTTATTGTCAAAAGCCTTTTCTGCATATAGAAACATCAACAAGGTCTCCTCTTGACTTTTGGAGCCAATTAAAGTCTGTGTTGTATGCAATATTAGTGCAACTCATAGTAGACCCATTGGAATTAATGAAGTGAGGTTTATTAATTTCATTGGGTCTACTCTGAGGAGATGTTTGTTGGATACAACCCGACATGACCTTTGCAGGTATTGTCACTGCTGTGGATAAAAATGGTTGCTGGGTAGGGATGAGTCTGGGAATAGTTTGGTGTCGGGACCTGAATATCTGCGGTGGCTTCACTCCTGTGCTCTCTCTCCCTTGCCCTGCCCAACCCCTGCAACCTCCTCCAGGTCGTGAAAGTGGTCGGCAGTAACATCTCCCACAAGCTGCGGCTCTCTCGGGTCAAACCGACGGACGAAGGCACCTACGAGTGTCGCGTCATCGACTTCAGCGACAGCAAAGCCCGCCACCACAAAGTGAAGGCCTACCTGCGGGTGGAACCAGAGGAGACCACTGAGCCCCACCGCCACAGCTCCCCCACTGGGCACCTGCAAGACACCCAGCTGCTGGGCTTGCAGCTCTCCGACCACAGCAAACTGAGCGGCTCCCACCCACACCACCAGCACCACAAGCCAGGCAAGGAGCTCAAGAAACGCTCCGTGGACGATGCGTCCTGTGCCCTCTAGACTGGGTTGCATCCCGAGTTGTGGTACTGAATGGCCTAAATGGGGTTTCTCCCTCCTCCACCCCCCACTCTTCCACACACACACTTGCCCCATCCCACTGGGTGGTGGGAACATGACATCCCAGTGGCCAGCCTGTATTTGGGCCAGGTTTGCTGAGGAACCGATGTAAAACGAATGCCACAAACTAGAGTCACCCCGTCCGCATGAACCTCATTGTCAGCATCCCTTCCACTCGGTCATATAGATATGTATTTTTAACATTCCTTTCTAACTATGAATTTCTCCCCTTGAATGGACAATGGGCTGCTCCCAGGACTCCGGAGACGACACGGAGCTGCTCCAGGGTGGATTTAAACGGAGGGAGCCCAGGTTACACTGTCCTGCTGGCTGCCTATGTCCACATGGGTAGGAGAGGGCATCTTCCCCAAGGAACACAGCTGTGGATGCCCCCCCCCGGCACCTTTACGGGCATCCAAGCAGGACTGTCTTCTCTGATTGTCTTTTTGGAAGTATTTAGGGTGTCCGAACATGGGTCTGAGGCCGCCTGCCTTGCTGTGAGGAGGTTTAATTCAAAGCTGGACCTTCCCCCAGCTCTGGGGACACTTTAAGCCACACCTGGGGCTGACCCTCCTCACCTTTGCATTGCTAGCTTCTTATGCCATTTGTGAACCCCCCGGAGATGCTCCACCTTGCTTTGTAAAATGAGACGCCCAAGGGATGCCGTTTAGACCATCCGTTTTAATTCACTAGTATCAAACTCTGTAACTATGAAGTTGATGACTGTATATTGTAAATATAACCGACTGTTTCTCCCTCCTGCATTCCCAGGACACTGACCCAGCCCCCGTGAGTTTTCCAAGTGGCACCTCTTTGTAGCTGTGTGGAGAACCAGCAGGATGCATTCTTGGGGGTGCTAGCCGTTAAGAGCGGTAGATTCGTAATCTGGGGAACCGGGTTCGCGTCTCCGCTCCTCCGCATGCAGCTGCTGGTTGACCTTGGGCCAGTCACACTTCTCTGAAGTCTCTCAGCCTCACTCACCTCACAGAGTGTTAGTTGTGGGGGAGGAAGGGAAAGGAGAATGTTAGCCGCTTTGAGACTCCTTCAGGTAGTGATAAAGTGGGATATCAAATCCAAACTCTTCTTCTTCAAAAAAAAACAACATGGGAGGCCACCATTATAAAACTGGTTGTCTCTTACGACGCCCAATTTGCACAGTGATTTCATGCATTGCTGTGTTCTTTTTTAAACGCTCCACTCCAATCGATGTCCCAGATACTATTCTAGAGCAATGCTGCAATCTGGTACTAGAGCACAATACTATGGTGACAATTTGCCAGCTGGAAAAGTTGATGTGGAGCTCAGGTCCAAGAGCTGTCAATCACCGGCTATTGAGCACACAAATGATGGGTGGCGGATTAAATTCTCAGCACTGCTTCTTATGATTTTTTTTTTTTTAATTTGGGAAAAGTTTGGGATCAGGCTGGGATCCTCTTTTTTATGTACTCCCTGGAGCAGTGGCACAGGCACAACTGTAGCGAGGCCTCTGTATCTCAGTTGCCGGAAGTGAGAACAAGAAATCTCTTAAGAAGCAGACCTTAGTTGGATGTGGAGGCCACGCCGGAGAACCAGTAGAGTCAAATTTGTGGGCAGTCTGGGAATATAGACCCACCTGGGTGGATACTTTTTGAGGGGGAGGGGGAATGAGACCCCACCCCTGTGGGAGTGGACGCCCACAGGTGGCTGCCACCCTAGCCTTGGCAAAAACTCATGGGCACACAGAATTGCAGGGACCCAAAAGAGCATCTAGTCAGGTGCCCTGCAAAATCAACCCTTAGAGCGGGGTCTGGGGATGGCAAGGCTCCTGGCTGAAACAATTCTGGTCCCCCAAAACGAGAGCATAAAATGCAGATTGCACAAGAAATGCCAATTTTCTGGGTTTCAAAACCAGACGCCCAAACCACCTGGTTCCACAAGCCCCTTTTCGCCCCCCTCCCCAGTCCCATTCCTCTTGTATATATTTCTATTTGCTATGTCTCGGGGGAGGTTGTTTGCAGAAGCAGGCAAGACTGGTGCAGGGAAAGGTAGTCAGCCAAGGGAGGTCAATGTGTGTCTCATTGAGAATAGTTTCCTGCTGCTGCTGCCTCTGGGCAGAGGGTCAGCCCAGCTGGCTACGTGAGACAACCCCTTCCTTACAGCTCTGTGACTCCAGGCCCAGGGTAGGAGCCCCTTATGCTGCACTAAGAGGGGAGGCAAGCAGCTTTCCCACAATGCCCTTACCTGCACCACACAAACCAGTCTGTAACCAGCTGAAGCGAATAAAGTTCTTTAAATGGGCTTGCCATCTCCGAGTCTTCATTCGTGTCAAAACGTGTGTGGGGCACACTCTGAAGTGCCATGGAAAAGAAGTTGAAGGCAGTGACCGGGAGCCTGGGAGCCCATCAGGCATGACTGGGGTGGGTCTGTGGGTGTGTGGTTTGGGGAAGGAGGCAAATATATTGTTGTGTGCTTGCTAATCTCCAAGTGGCGAGGGATTCCAGCAGCTCCAGCTTTTACCCAGGGTTCAGTTTCCTTGGAATGAAGGTCAGCAGAGACTGTGGTGCATTTAGGATTTGCGGTTTTCTTTATGCATAAGTACAACCTGAGTTGGGGATGGAAGGGTTCGCATTTCCTTCTCCAGGAAACACAAGCCTACTTCTGACACCAGTGTTGCGTGCACAGCAATTGTGAGAGCCAGGAGACTCCAGGAGTGTGGGAATGCAGCTCAGTGGAGACTGCGGCGTCTTTAGGATTTATAGTTTTATACACACACACACACACAACATAGCATAGAATGGAGGGACTTGCACAATTGACACCCCAAACGACCTTGCTTCTCCATTACAGCTTTGGGTTAAGCACAGAGTAAGGCAAACCTCCGTGTCTCTGTTGATCATCAACAGAGTCATGCCAGAGCCCTGAACCAGAAGGCGTTTTGGGATGTTGCTGCTGCTGCCGATCGCCAGAGAGAGCATCTTTTGGTCTGGTGCTCACGCCAGAGAGCCAAACCAAAAACAGAAGCCAGGATTGGCTGCTGTGATCTGGGATGTCCCGCTTAAAACAGGACAGTTGGTGGGTCTGCACTGTGGATAACTTAAAAGGAGGATTGGAGCAATTCATGGAGGAGAGGGCTATCAGTGGCGAGTGGCCATTATGACTGTGCGCTGCCTCCACAGTTGGACGTAGCCATGCTTCTGAATTACTTTTGGCTGCAGGAGCTGCCAGGAGGAGGCGTACAAAGCGCCACCCAACCATCTTAGGGAATCCCCTCTGGATTTGTGTAGGGTTTAAAAAGGTAAAGGGACCCCTGACCATTAGGTCCAGTCGTGGCCGACTCTGGGGTTGTGGCGCTCATCTCGCTTTACTGGCCGAGGGAGCCGGCGTACAGCTTCCGGGTCACGTGGCCAGCATGACTAAGCCGCTTCTGGCGAAACAGAGCAGCGCACAGAAACGCCGTTTACCTTCCCACTGGAGCGGCACCTATTTATCTACTTGCACATTGACGTGCTTTCGAACTGCTAGGTTGGCAGGAGCAGGGACCGAGCAACGGGAGCTCACCCCATTGCGGGGATTCGAACCGCCGACCTTCTGATCGGCAAGTCCTAGGCTCTGTGTTTTAACCAACAGCGCCACCCACACGTCCCTGTGCAGTGTTTACACCTTAGTTTTTTCTTCTCCCAAAGATTTCCCACAAGGCTGAGGGTACGGACCTTCCCTCAGGGTTTACTCCCAACATCTTTCCCACAAGTATTGCCACAAAGGCAGGGGAAGTTTAGGATCAGAGTATTCCTTCTCCTGGATGAGCTACCTTCCCAGGTGTCCCTCACTTCCCTCTGTAGCACAGGCAGAACCCACCTTCCTGGCGGTTGGGCCCACTATGGGCCTCGCCCATCCTCCGGAGCCTGTCTTCGCATGCAGGGGAAGTTCTTAACTCCCAGATAGTTTGAGACCCATCGGATCCCTTCAGCTGGTCTTGCCAGCCAGTCAAAGCCGTGCCTGGGGTGTGTTTGCTGTCGTATGCTGACAGCTTCTAGCGGGCACAGGTGAGAGCTGAGTGCAGGATGGGGTCCAAAGGTGGACAAAGCAGAAGGAGCACAACGTGTCCCCACACCTCATACACCCCAATTTAAATCAATTCATTAATAACAACAATAATTGTTGAATAGTGGGTAGACATGGCAGACGACACAGCGATTTCTCCAAAGCAGCTCTTTATTTTGTAAGCTGGAACAGAACTGAACAGCAAACAGCTCAGCCGGCCTGCTTTTATAGGCAGCCGGCTGTCAACATTGTAGCAACAACAACCCAGGGTTTCCCGGCTAAAATAACTGACGTGGACCTGAGTGAAAACCATCTACAGTATCCCCCTGCTGGCCCAGGGTGAGAACTTCAGTACATAACACCCCTCCCCACCGAGATAAGGCGTTAGTTACAATCGTAATGGTTTCCTTATATACAGCACTACACGTAATGGTTCAATTAGGCACAAAAGCATATCGGTTACATTTCCCATACTTAGACCAACAGTGATACATGTCCAACAACATAGTCCTTTAAATAAGTTGGGCACTTGGAAACTCTGCCAGACCGCCAGGGACTGGTAGCCAAGTCCGGGGGGCCACACAATTCTTGCTGAGGCTGTGGTGCGACCCGAGGTGGCGTTGAAACCAAATCCCCTGGATCCGCTGCTGTGGGTGGAGCCTCCGCAAGTGGAGTGGTCTGAGTCTGTGGTAAGTCTGGCAGACCCTCAGAAGCGGCTTGGTTCGGCTCCATGCTGGCAGTTTGCGAGGGAGGTGTAGGTGGAGCCTCGCCATCTGTAAGTGTCTCTTCTGGAGCCACAAGCGCAGTTGGGGGCACCACAGTAGTGTCCAAGTCCCCAACCCTGCGCCTAAGCTGCTCTATGTGCCGGCGCCACAAGCGTCCATCTTCGAGTGCCACCTGGTACGAGCGAGGTCCGGTGACTCCCACTACTGTGGCTGGCACCCAAGGAATGTCCCCCACATAGTTCCGGGCAAAGACCTGGTTTCCTGGAACAAATGACCGTGGCGAGTTGATGATGATGATGATGATGATGATGATGATGATGATGGAGGCTTTGTCTCCAGATCCTTTTTTATCTCCCCAGACATCCCAAAGAGAAGCAGAGGCTCAGACCTCGTAGACCAGGACCATCTCTCTTCCGTCTCCTCTGCCCCACAATCACCCCGTTACGCAGAGAGAGAAGGAGGGGGCTGAACTTGTGCGCAGCTCCATAAGTAGCCCTGACGGTCTTGTCAGGAAAGAAATACACAGCCTCTCTGCAAGCGTCCCCAGGCCTCGCTTGTCTATC